GGAACCTGAGGTTCTTGATTTGCTTTGTTTTTGTTTTATTTATTATTTGGGTACCAGAGGTTGAACTTGGGTCCTTGCGCTTGCAAGGCAAGAACTAGAACCACTGAGCTAAATCCCCAGCCCTGTGTTTTTTTGTTTTTAATGTGAGCATTCACAGCTATAAACTTCCCTCTTAGGACTGCTGTCATTATGTCCCATAGGTGTTGGTATTTTATATTGACATTTTTGTTTGATTCCAGGGCCTAATTTCTTCAGAAATCCATTGATTGCTCAAGATGATATTGTTTAATTTTCATGTGTTTCCTTAATTACTGTGATTTCTTTTGACCTCGAATTTTAGTTTCATTGCACTATGATCTGAAGTATGCATAGGGTAATTTCAATTTTCTGCATTTAGTTAAGCATGCTTTATTGGCTAGTATGTGACCTGTTTCAGAAAAAGTTCCATGCGTTCCTGAGAAGATGTATTCTGTTGCTATTGGGTGGAACATTCTATAGATATATATTGAGTCCATTCATTCAAAGGTTTGGCTCAACTCTGCTATTTCTTTGTTGATTCTCTGTCTAGTTGATCTATTTGTGACAGTGGGGTATTGAGGTCCCAATACAACCGTATTGATGTTTGATTTTTTCATGCCCAAAAGTGTTTGTTTTATGAAGTTTTGTGCACCACTGTTTGGTACATAAATGCTTATACTTCTCACTTTCTGTTGATTTTTCCTTTAAGCAATACGCAGTGACCTTTGTCTCTTCTGATCAGTTTTGGTTTGAAATCTACTTTGTCTGAAATTAGGACAGCTACTCCTGCTTTTTTCTGGGTTCCTGCTCCATAGAATATTGTTTTCCATCCTTTTCATTTTTAATCTGTGCTTTTCTTTTTGGATTAAATGTTTCTTGCATGTTGAATATTGTTGGGTTTTGTTGTTTGATCCATTCTGCCAATCTGTGTTTTTTTTATTGGGGCATTAGGACAATTCACACTGAGTTATTACTGATAGGTAATGACTTATTCCTGTCATTGCATTGTTTTCTGGTTGTTGATTTCCTTATTTTTTTTACTCTTCTGTAGCTGCTCATTCTGCCAGGTATATTCATTTATTTTCAGTTAGTAGCACTGTTGACTTCACTGTCTCTTTCTAGGATATCCTTGAGAATTTTTGTAATGCTGGTTTGGTGGTCATGAATTTCTTGAGGTGTTTCTTATCATGGTAATACTTTATCCATCAGGTCTGAAGGAAAGTTTTGCAGACACGCAAGTCAGGATTGGAAGTTGTTATTTTTAGGGCTTGAAATATTTCATCTCAAGCCACCTGGCCTTTAAGATTTGTGTTGGTGGTAATTCTCCTATAATTCTAATGAGTTTGACTTTATATGTGATTTGTTTCTTTTAACAATTTTAATGATTTTGTTCCAGTGATGGACTTCTGCCACCTTCTTTGTCTTGGCTATTTGGGGTTTTATATGCCTGATTCACCTATATATTTATTTCTTTCCATATATTTGGGAAGTTTTCTGCCATTATTTCTCTGAACAGTATTTTTATGCTACTTGTGGTTATCTTCTGATTTTTCAGTTATTTTTAGTCTTCTTTGTGTCATCTAGCTGATATGTTTTTCATGTTCTCTTATTGCCTGTAAGATATCTTTGAGTAGTTGGTCTTTGAAGGCATCATTGTCTTCTAGTTCTGAAATTCTGGCCTCACATTGGTCATTTCCACTGCCCATACTTTCAATATAACTTTTAATCTCCTGAATTTCTAATTGAAATCTTTTCATGGCCTGTAATTCTCTAGTGAACTGGTGGTTCATGTTTTACATAATTTTGTTTAGCTCATCTACTTCTAATTAGTATCTCTTGAAAGCTTCTCAATTTTATTTATTACTTCTATGACCTGTTTAATTATATTTTCTTTTTTTTGTTTTTTTTTGTTTTTTTTTTCTGGTACTGGGGATTGAACTCAGGTCCTTGCCCTTGCCAGGCAGGTTCAGTGCCATTGAGCTAAATCCCCAGTCCTAGCTATATTTTCTGTCATCCCACTGAGTACCTCTCTGATTTGTTTTCTAAGCTCCTTCATTATCTATTTTAATAGTTTGTATATGGCTTGTTCTAACTACCCCGTCGAACCCCTCTGGATTGACTGTAGGGGACTTGGGAGTCTGGAGGGGCATTTTGTTGTCTGGTCTTCTCACGCTTCCTTTGTTGTTTGTTTTGTTTTGGCTGAGGTTTGTGAATGTTTATAATGTAAAGACTTAAATGCTAATCTAGAGGTCTCTTCAGTTAGTCACTTTTCAGTGATGTATTTTGGGTATGGCTACCTATAGTCCTCTGCCTCTGTCCCAAGACACAGCCACCTTAATTAATTTGGGAGGGGAAGCTGCAGCGTAATTGGTCCAACACTGAGTTCTTAGGAAATGTCAGAAATGTAATCTGGGTGTTAATTTATGAAGAAAATCCATCAATAACCACAATTATGTGACCAATATGAAGCAAATCAGCTATAGTAGTTATCATTCAAGGCAAGTAGGATATTAGCATACCAAAAGAACCAATTATGTACCACCCTTGACCCTGTAGAGGAAATTCGCAATTACAGCATAAACATCAAGACATCCCAAGTGTTGACCCACAATTTTTATGCAGTAAATGTGACAGCTATATCTCCTCTAATGGTAGAAAATAATTCAACAGCATCTCTCCAGAGTCAACTATGTGAAGACCAGTAAAGATTTATTGTTATAGTGTTAAAGATATAGGAATGAAAGAAGAAAATTTTAAACCTTAAACTATATTATATGAGAAGGAAGAGAAAGAAATGGGGCAAAGGATCCTAATGGGGTTACCGGGACGTTTATAAAATTAGGTATGGTTAACAGGAAAAAAATGATGATTAAAAAGGAGAGAAAAGAAGAAATTACATGGTGAACATAAGTAAGAGGGAAAATTACAGGGAGGGGATTTAAAAGGAGACGAGAAAAGAAAAAGTAAAAAAAGTGGAAAATGGAAGTATGAAAAAGAGATGGAAAAAGGAAATAAGGAAAAAGGACAATATAAAATTCCCCTATCCTCTATAAACTAGTGAAGAAGAAAAAGGAAAGAAGAAATAAGAATACACATCATAAAAGAAAAAGAGAAAAAAAAAAGGAAGAGAGAAAGGCAAAAAATTTTTTTTCTATTATTTTGAATGTATGGTTTTCTTCCAGAATTTATAATTTGGGGACAGTGTCCAAGTCAAGATGTATCCCTGCTCATGCTGGTAGATAAGGAAAGCAGTCTGGGCTGGGGCTTTAGCTCCGTGATTCTGACGCCTGGCTCATAAGCACAAGAACCCGAGTTTAGTCCCCGGTACGAAAAAAACAAAAAACAAAAAGCAGTCTGACCCCCACATCTGTATTAAATGCAGGCATCAGCAGACAATAAGACAAGTACACCAATGCCAAAACTTTCAAAACCTGGGCCACTTAGGCTGAGCTTGCCCTCTGACCCAGGACGCTGACTCCTCAGAGGGTTCTCTTTCCAACCTGCTCTCTGACTGCTGGCTGTCTCCTGCGGCCTCCTGTGGCTGTCCTTCACCCACTTACTTTGGGAATGTAACACTGGAAACCCTGGAGTGGTGCCAAGTGGCTACTCTGGGTCCCAGATTCAAACAATCATCCCTTCTTCAGAATGGCGTCTGACCACACCCTCTCTCCAGGGATATGGCAGATGCTTTTATTAGAGTCACTCATTAGCTGTTGCCTGTAGAAGGACACACTGGGAGCAGAGTCCTGCATTCTCCTTGTAGATTACAGCGACTGCCTGCCCAGTCCATTCTATTGCAGTATTTCTCTGTGAGGAGAAACTTTTCATTTAACTTTGTCCTGCAAGCCACAGTGAGCTGCTTGCAGCTCGTGATCTGTAACAAAGTGCAGAGGGTCCTTTCCCTTCTCTGTATTGTATTCTGTTTCTTCAGTTTCTCTGTATCTTTTAATTTTTTTTTTTTTGTCAGATCCCTCCTAGCTCCTGGGAAACTAATTTTCTCTTTGTTTTTTTTTTCTCCAAGTTGCTGTTGTCCAGACTCGAGGCATCAGATCTCAGAGAAGTTGAGTTGTCATCCACAAACTCTACCATTTTCCTTGTATTTCAGTTCTGTTTTCTCGGGTTCTAGGAATACCTAAATCATTCTTCATCCTTGGTCTGAGAGCCAAGATTGAATACCTAAAATGCCCCATGCCAACAATTTTATACTCTACAATAATGGGTACATTGGAAGGCATGCTCAGTGATCTGTAAGAGAAAGTGGTGGGCTTTGTAAAGAAGTTCAAGTACTTCAGTGCAAGTTAGCAGAATTGGTGCTCTTCCTCTTTATCAACATTACTTTAGGAAACTTCACGTATTTTAAATTTTTTTTTTTTTTTTTTTTTTTTTTTTTTTTTTT